TATATATAGTAAACAAGAAACAAGCTTATGGCTTAAGCCATTCGACTGACTCACAGGGCCAAATAAAATTTTAGGCAAATAGCATTTACTTATTTGCTAGATAAGTAGAGCTCATCTTATCTCATCCATCCGACAAAATGCAAGTGTAGCTGCTTACCACTGCTCTCCCTGGGGTGCCGATGCTTGGGATCGTGCATCTCTCGGAATTCAATCAGAGGGACATCATCAATGGAGTTCTTTTCGCTATTTTCGTCCTTCTTATGCAGCTGATTGATATACAGCAACACGTCGTTGGAGGCGTCATCAGTGATGGAATAGGTTGAGTTAATCTTCAGCTTGGTGCTGTTGTAACCTTCCGGCCGGTGTTCTTCTATCGTATGCGTAGGACCGAATTCGATATGCCCAAGGCCCAAACTGTACATCAAGTGCTCCAAGCCCTATGTATATATTTGAAATTAGTGGAATTAGTAATTTTTTATGTAATATAAATTACGTCCTTCATGTCGTAAAATTTAATAATAAATTTGCTGAGCAGTATTTTATTCGGCTTGATCTTTTCGGTTTGCTAACGATGCTTTTAACAATTGACTATTAAGAAAACTAATAATTTTGGCAAAAAAAAATTCAAAATGCGCTCAGATACACATTATACGTATTCAAAGTGTTGATTCTATTTACTGGCGAAATATTTGATTATGCGGGGTCACGTGTTAACTGTGGATGCTCGAGAATCTCACAAAAATCAAAATAATTACCTGATTTACTTGTCACCGAGCAAAGCAATTATATTTACATGTCTATGCACGCCTCCTCTTACATATTAATGATGGAAAATTGAATGAGGCTGGGCACGTTCACAATGGACTTGACAGTGCCTGTCCATTGGCATGGGCCTAGGGCGGGTGGCCTGTCTGTTAGCAGCTGAGATAGTAGCTCAGCTATTATTTAATAATATCGTTTAGGACACAGAATACCATTTGAGATCAAGCCCCTCAAGCCCCACAAGAAAACGTAAAAGTTTTTGGCGGCAATCCACAGCTGACTGGGTTTTTTAAGCAGTTGCTTTGTATGTAAAGTCTGTCAATCAAATTAAGTAAACACGCGCTCAGTCCATAAACAAAAATAAAAACAAATAGTTGGAGTACTATATTTTGAGATGGTATACTGAAACATACCCTGTAAACATATTCTGTCTTTATAAATTATATGTTAATATCTACTCGATTGATAGCCCTACATGTATCTGTATTATAGATAAATAGATACATTTACATAATAGTATATGGATCAACCTATGGATCCTTTTGGAAGATATCTGTTCATCCCCTTTAATTTATTTAACAGCTTATTATAATTCGGTGCAGTTTCATACAGGGTATACGAAATGCAGTAACTCTAACCTCGCTGCCGATATTAGTGGACCACTGAGGCCACCGCCGTTTCACTTTCATTCAGAAAATTCTATGCCAAGAGCTCGTTGACTATTGTCGCCGGGACACGCGTTACCCAGCAATGGTGGCTCGAGCTTATGGTCGCTTAGTTGGCATGCCGCATACGTAACGAGGCTTTCATTTAAGTGCATAGAGGTATTGCGTAGTGTCGCCGGCGACGTCTACGCATGAGTAATGCCAATTGATTGGAGTTGGATGAATACCTTATGGTCGGGTATTAGCATCGCCAACAAGCAGGTGCCTAATGCACCAATACATAGAGCCACACCACACATACTTCGCAATATATATTCATATATTATAAGTACTGACAACACGAATGTATTATGGTCAAAGGCTATTGCCTCATTCTGCCCATTCATTATATGCTTACGAAAAAATAGGTAAAAATAATTATATTCAAATTATTTGGACGAATAAAATTGATGACACCCGAATTTATATATAGTATCAACAATTTGTATAATTATATTTTCGAAATAGTCCGAAGCTCTTCCAACGAATACAAACAGAGTGTGATATGCGTGTTGATACTAAACTCGCTGATATGGTATCTCTGCTGGCCTTATCGATGTCTAAAATCATAGTAATAATCATACCGTTCTCAAGTAAAGGAATAACAGATTAAGGGAGGCAAACAAAAGGTTATTATTATTTGCCTTACTTAAATATGTTTTAGTAAACGTTGTTGATGATATTCTACTCTAACAGCATTTCTGTTTGACAATTGATGAGGAATGTCTATAAAATTACAATCAATCTGAAAGTTTAGAGATAATTTTAAAACTTATTTTCTTTAATTGATATAAAATAAGAGCAAATTACGTTATTTTAAATTAAATTTGAGAAGAACAGGGTACAGCATAACAAAGTATATAATGGGATAAATTGACTTCTTTGCTAGAAGGAGAGGCAATCCGTCCTATTTCTTTTATTTGTTCTTTATTATTTTGATAATGTCAACTATTTAGTGTCACAAGCTTTGCATCACATCGCACACAGCATAAGCCGTTGCGCCTTAATACTCAGAAGTGATTTGTATATGGGAGGCTTTTTATGATTCGTACTTACAATACATACATGTGCATATCTTAGTGAATGGGCAACCGACTCTTCATAACTATAACATGTGTATCGCGATATATCTGAATGTGTCTGTCTTTGTGCGCGCTTGCCGGAATGTTTGCCAGACGAGTGATAAGAATATGTCAAGATTTTGATTAAATTTATGATACTGTTAATGCTAAGAGTACATGACTAGCGTCTGACTACGGTTCGACGTTCGTTGCTCCGCGTACCTAAGAATGGGAATAAAGATACTATTACTGCGACGATTACTAAAGCCGAAGCCTAGTATTTAGTATCTAGTTCTGCATTTTAACTGGCACACGTTTATGTAACGAACAATCACACAAATAATGCCTCTGGGATATCCGAGACAAGGTTTCAGATTTCACTCCCAATAAAGTGTCGGTCATTGAAGACTTTTAACCGTTTTGGAAACCGCCAGCCAATGTGATAAACAGTGAAAATATAGAAATTACCTACAATCTTTGACACGTCGAATAGTGCATACTCTTTGAGAGATGATAGATGAGAGTGAGAACAGATTATAGCTTCATAAAATTTTGCTACTAACGGTTTTATTATTGCACAAATTTGTAATTGGTCCTGTATTACATCAAATAGTATTAAAAAAAATAATAAAGAAGAACTGAATTTACTTATTATTGCCCATGACTATTATAAGAACAAGAACTGAAAATGTTTCCGAAAGTGAGGGAAACACTTGAGTGATTGACTCATCTCTTAAGAATAATCAACTAAACTTTCTTTAAATTCTTTGCATTAAAAATGGGCTGTTGCGTATGTTTTTAGCAAAGCTGCAAACATACAATTCACAAGCAAGCGTTGCATAGCAAATATGATTTAGCACAAATACATGACCTAGACCCGTGTAAAACTTAAAAACTTCACAGATATATCCATGTAGCTATAAACTGTTTGAATTGGATTAATTAAAAACATTCGGACATAGTTGGGGCACTTTGTTTGACTTTACCTCAAAGCTTATGGTATTGCCACTGCCATACTTTTCAAATATCTGCGTCACATAACGATTATATTCGGACGATGCGTAAATCGTGGTACCCCAAAAAAGCCCGACGAACAGGTAAAGACCGATTGGCTTCAGCGCCATTGCAAATAGTTTCAAAAGTTTATCACTTTAAAGAACACTTTTTACTTTCGCGATTTGTGCCGAACAATTAGTACGCTGCTCTGCTCATTTCAAAGGCGCTCTCAATTTAAATGCCAGAGTCGGAACGCAACCGTCAGTAATCCCGGTTGGCTGTCTATTGAGCGACCATCTTGCCAGTGCAGCGCTTTTGTACTGATCTCAGCAATCGCAATCGCAATCCACTCGCTTCTCAGCGCTCGTCGCATTTATAACTGTTGTCGGTTGTTTGGCAAGCTTTCGAAATTTCGAGAGCTTTTACTGGTGCCTACCGATATTTACCTTGGGCTTTTAAATGCAGATAAAAGCTGTATGATTTTGGCTTGACTGCGAACAGTTTTTGGCTAGAAAGGTGTATATTTATATATTTTATTAAACTCTATACAATATGATTCGATTTACACAAGTACAAAATTGGTTCAACTTATGTTTGTATAATAATCTTATTTTTAAATTATCTGAAAAAGTTAATCTATTGTTGGTTTTGTCTTTTCTCTATTTTTTTTTTTTAATTTGTGCGTAAACGCTTTATATATATAGTTATGTATATATATAGTCATACATAATCACATACAACATATTTAGATTTACAAGCTAACGAAATTGGTTCTTAATTGACTTCTTTGAGAATTATAAAGATATTTACAGCAGACAAGATGGTATTTGGAGAAGCTTGCCGAGCTTATGAGGTACCTATTATAATAGTTATTGATGGATCATTGATTACTACAGAGAAGGCACTTGATTCGCCCTAGTAATGAGTAATTTAATCTTAGTCGAACTTATCCTGATTTGGCATACAGATAAAGAATTTGGAGCACCACATGTTTATGGTTTGGGAGGTGTCGGCCAACCATTGAACCGGATTATGTATGGTTAGATAGTAGACGGGAATGCCGGAAAGTATGATCACAGTGCCAACGCCCACCTCGGTGGGGGACTGTGTACAGGATGCGATGACCAGGAACAGGCAGACAATCAGATAAATGATGGGTAGTGATAGGTTGACACGAATGGGTCGTTCCGTCTTGGGTTGCTTATACCGCAACCAGAGTAAGCCAGACACAGAGACGAGCGTGAAGAGTGCTTCCACATAGCTAACGTAGTTGATGAGCACATATGTGTCCTTTATGAACAGCAACATCAGCGTAATTAGACACTGTAAGAAGAAAAATATGAGCTATGATGTCTTGCGGGATTTTAGTAGACTAGAATCTTACCAGAAATATTAATGATGGCACCGGCGTTAGGCAATTAATGTTTATTAGCGAAATCGCCGCTGGCAGATGGCCATTGCGCGCTCCCACAAAAAACAAGCGAGATGATGCAAAGATGGCGCCATTCAAGGATCCAAACGTCGAGCACGCCACAGCAAAGGGCATTATCCACGACAGGAAGCCCAGCATCTTGTCACCGAAGGTTACGGCTACGGCATCAGAAGTTAGTATTTCATCAGTCGAAAGCACCGAAAAGTATGCTACATTTGTCACCATATAAATGATCGTGACAACCGGCATTGATATGCAAATGGCACGCGGCAAATTACGGTACGGATCCTTTAATTCCTCTGTCACGAAGTTCAAGTAGTTCCAGCCCGAGTAGGAAAACAATCCGCTATAGAAGGCCAGCGCTATGTATCCGGGCTCTTTGTGTCCTCCACTAAACGGTTGATCCCAATAGTCCGTGTTGCCACCCGCCAAGTACCACACGCCGGCACCCACAATTACCATTAGCGCAACCACTTTTGTACCCGTAAATATGTCCGTTACCCGTGTGACCCATTTCACGTTGTAGCAGTTGATGACAGTCAGGACACCTGTGCAATATCGGATTTGATGAAAGTGCTTTAAGATGCTATTATAGATCACCACTTACAGATCATGGCAGCGGCCAAAAGCTGAACAGCTTCTATGGGTGCTTCGCATGAGGGCCAAAATGGTTTCAGCAGATATTGAGCGAATGTAAGCGCTGTGATGGCATTGCCCGTGGGAACCAGTATGAGCAGCGCTACCCAGAGATACAGAAACGCAGGCAATGGGCCAAATGCGGTGCCAATATAGGCGTAGTCACCCCCTGATTTCGGTATCATGGTACCTGTAAAAATAAAAAAGTTTAGTTTTATGAAAACTCAACGAAAATCTGATTCTTGGAATTTTATATTTAGTCAAAGTTCCTTCTCTAGATTTTTCAAAGTACAGGTAAAAATTTGAAATTAAGCTTTTATATTTCTCAGCCAGATGCAAACTTTAACGAAGGATTAACTGCAAAATACGACTAATTAATTTTTTTAGTCTTTGTTAATAGATTGACCTACAATCGTATTGAATAGATAAATAAATGCACTTATTTATAATGTAACCGTGCGCATGGTGCAAAATTCCACCTATCCTCTTTTATTATAGTACACATATATTTTGAACGAGATCTATGCCACACAGTATCTATTTGACTTAACATTGAGTACTTAGTATTTTAAAATGTTTTGGCATTTTTTTTTTTACTTAACATACGAATGTCACATTCGACACTATAAAATTGCCCATATGCTTTAAATACTCTTAATACTTTCAACTTATGTTAATTGGCTATCGATTTTTTTTATAGAAACTCAATATACGGACTTAAAAAGTCTTACAGACCTGTAGGGACCCCTAGCTCGCGTCTGGGATCGACACATTCTCATAGACGGTTTAACGGACTAACAAAAATGTATGGGGTCCGCCTGCTGTCTATTTGACATTTCCCATTTTCAATGGTAAGAACTATTATTATATTGTATTTAAATTTTAAAAGAATCTCTTATTATTAAATTTTTATCAGGATATAACGATTTAGACTAACGAATAATAAAAAATGAATAATGAATAATGAACAATTAATTATGAACAATTAATTATCTTCTTCTCTTTCTATTTAGGTAGCACTGTTTAGGATGTGAAATTTTGAATATAATATATTATATATTATATCTATAGTATAGAAGCCTGTAAAGGGCAAACTTATCTTTTCGACAGACTCAGGAGTAATCGATTTCCTTCCGATAAACCTACAWATTCGACGGTCCGCCAAATAAGTCGTAGCAATTAAGACAAAATTTAAATTGCAAAGATCAAGAATATTACAGTGATGGGTAATTGAGCAACACTGTTATATATTTAAAATATTATTCTATATATATAATATTCCAGTGTGAACAACTTTTGCATCAGCTTAGTTGATCTATTTACTGTAGTGGTCTTATCTTTTATATATAATAGATAATACATATGCTATATGTTCTCTGTCGTCTATTCTATCGAATTACTCTCCAGCTTGTGTTTATCAATTACCTACGAGGCAGCATATGGGTGCTTTAATTAAATGGCTGCTATAGAATTCGGCAGAAACATAATAAATAGGTCTATGTTAATATTTGTGCTTGGTTCATCGAAGTTACATTTTTACACGGTTATGACATTGAACACGTTTTATATGTTGTTCAAAATGTGCGACTTAAAAAGTAAATTAAATAAAACTAAATAAAGAATACAAAAAGAAATCACAATTTGAGGAGCAAAAGAAGAAAAAGTCGTTTGTTGTCTTGTTAAAGGAAATTTCACAAGCACTCATTTTTTTCTAAATTGACCTATTCTTCTCTTTTTGCTTCACTGATAAAATTATAAGCGAAATAATAACATATCTTTAAAATATTATTATAACAATATTTGCGTGTTACTGCAGACTGATATCACGTTGTTACATATATCGACCTAAATGGATTATTTTAAAAAATCAGTTAAGTTTTCGATTGGGTACGGTGAATCTTCTAATCAGAATATTGACGACACAAAATATTGAAAATGTGAATTTAATTAAAGTATAAATGATATGACCCTAATTGTAACACCTGGCATAGCTGGCATGGCATATTCAGCAAGTATTAACAAGGTCGTGTGCCACTTTCGGCAAAGGTGTTACAGGTGTTTCTTCGTCAGCATATAAAATGGCAAAGCTGACATCACGAGTGTTTACCTCAATTATTTACTTACCCAATTCGGCGTAGCATAGGGCACCCACCATGCTGAGAACTCCACAGAGCACCCACACGATGAGCGACTGTCCAATCGAGCCGGAGAACATGAGCACACCTTTGGGGCTAACGAATATGCCGGCGCCCACAATGACACCAACGATGATTGCGACGCCATCGAGCAATCCGATTTGTTTCTTGAGCTTAACTCCAGAACTCTGACTGGAGGTGTCTGTGGCAGAGTTGCTCCGGTCACGTGCTTTTTGATCACTGCCTGCCTCTATTGGCACCTCGAATACCTGTCGCGGTATTAGCGTATCGCTAGCTTGAATGCGTGTCATATTTTTCGACACGAATGCAGGAGGTAAGATATTTAGTAAATTACTTTGTTTTCGAATATTTGGCTTTGCCACTAATTGGTCCCTTTGTTAAAGATCCTCGAAAATAAAGTGTTTTGTGCATATGTACGTATATTTATGCTCACTAATTTTATCGTTTTTCTTTTCTATTTGGTATTTTGAGTTCTTTAACAGCCTGCGCTCTCCGCACTTGCACTGCCAGCGTGGATCTTGTTCTGTTTCAAACACAATTTCGAGTTTTACTTTGCGGCCGGCCACATGCTTTACTTTTCTTTATACTTTACTTTGCTTGTCGCACTTTCGTATGTGCTTGTGCTTCTGCTTTTGCTTGTGCTTGTGCGTGTGTGTATGTGTAAGTGTGTGTACGTATGTCAGTGCACGCATGCACGCTCATTTGGCTGCATACTAAATAATCATAGAGCACACGTGGAGCGACACTCGCTCTTAAACAGTTTTAGTGAGAAGAGTTCGCAGTGTTTTCAACAGCATGGTTTGTTTTGCGTGTTATTTTCAAAACTGTTCCGGTTTCTATTCCTTTTCACAATCCAAGAATTAAATCACGCGCTGCGCTGCCGATCGACCACACTTTATGCGCACCGAGTCCAAACTAAGTTTCGAATATAAATACAGACTTCCCTTTTATGTGATGAGGCGCGACGCGTCGCTGCGCGGCTGCTTTTGCTTTTGCGCGCTGAGCGGTTAGCTTTGGCTTTGCATTCGTTTGATACTAGTAGGTAGCCACCGCGGCAAAGGCGACAGCTGTGTTTGTGCTTTAGCGCTCTTTCTCTCTCTCTCTCTCGCTCTCTGTCGCCACACTGTTCGCCACGTACTCGCTCTTAGGCCTTTATTCTTAACAGACTTGAGCCGTTACCCTAGATGAGTCGTTACCTGAGAATCTGTAATGATATGTAGATGATTGTTAGAGCTAGGCATTACTTTCGCATGCGTCTCACTCCCCCTCACTTCCCTCTCCCCTCTCACTTTCTTTCTCGCTATTTCTCTCTTTAACTCCATCCCACAGTTCTTCTCTCATAGCCCAAATACGCATTGGTTATGTATGTAAATATATATGTATGTATGTATGTATGTATGCATATTGCGGCGTTAGCATGATGCAACAATCGACCTTATTTCTGCAGCATTTATTTTCAGCAACGTTAACCTCTCGATATCTTTGTAAGTGTGTAGTACATACATACATACATACATACATACATATATGTACATATGTAGATATGTATGCGTGTACACAGCATGGGCGTTTTTTTTTTTGTAGCGCATACAAAACAGACAAGCATACATACCTATGTATATGACATATTCACTCTTTATGTGTATCACTTATGTACATATTTTTATATTCTGCATAAATACGTACATATGTACATACATATATACATATACATATACATATACATACGTATTTACAAGCATGTAAGCAACATCTTCTTCCTTCCATGAACTATTCTCAGAGCATTGTGTTTGATTTGATAGTAATTATAAAATTAACACTCGATTATTTACATTGATTACTACTGCAAATATGGACATACATACATATATGTACATACGTATGCACGTACGTATGTTGTATATACGCAAAGCTTTGTATATGTAATTATGTTCATATTAAATATTTATATACATACATATGTATGTAATATCTATCAAAACATTTTTATTTTATTAAATATACATACAAATTATAATTATGCATATGTATCTTGAGATATCAAGTTATTATTAAAATCACACACGTACATATGTATGCATGGTTATATCTTTATACACACATACACACATACACACACACACACACATATATATATATATATATATATACATATATTAGGTTTATGTATGTACGTATAAGTGTCAATCATTAATATTCTTTACAATTAATCATTAATATATTATACAATGTCAATCATTAATATTTTATAAACTACTATTGCTTCTTGTCAAAACCCATTTGCTGGGCAAGTCTTTTGTTTTCCAGTTCACTTAGAGATTATTTTCCATACAATTGCTAAGACAATCACATATATGTACATACACACACGTATATAATATTATATATACATTATACATTATACATTAAGGTATATAAGGTATTTTCTAGTCGACTTCTAATCGAATAGTGCGCTCGGGTTCTCACATTAATTTAAATATCTTAAAAACTCTAAAAGTGTCAAATACGTTTGTTTATCGACTTTTACTAAACTAGTACAAACTGGTCGAAGTGAGAAGACCGTAACAACGCAGAAATATCGAAAATGGTTTATTTCTCCTGCAAAAGTTCCGCAAGAATAAAGGCATAATCGTAATATTTGTTGTGCTAATTGTTTGCTGTTTATGAAATTTGACACTTTTAGACATGTTAAAGGCGTGTCAGGTCATTAGCCGGGTGGGTACTAACATATTATTGAATATTGTTCAATATATACTGATATTTTTGCAGATAAATATTGCATTTAGTTTCTTTTACTGAATAAGCAATTATAGGATTTGAGGCAAAGTAATAATAACCAACACCAATTTTTCACTTTTAAGGATCATTTCAGCTCAGTGTCTAAGCCTGTCATATTGTAGTAGACCAGAAGAGCAGTACGCAGTCGGTTTCAGAAAGTGCGTCTGCTTTGAATTATTTAATTGACTAAAATTTTGATAAGCAATCTATTCTCTGCGGTTGTAGCATCATTATATAAAGTAAAACTTAACACGTTTATTAAAATGAACTATGGGCTTGTGTTACGATATGCAGCAGATTTTGGGAAGTAAAATACGATAATCTAGCGTTGGTCCAGGCATAATTTTCGACATTACAAATTTAACTATATCCAGGCAATCTCATAAAAATGAAAAAATTGAAAAATTAAAATAAATAAATGACATAATTTCTTACTAAAGTTTTCTGTAAAGTCAAACTATTTGATTGCTGCATAGAAGAACGTGTAGAACGTGATTATAGATATACAGTGACGAGCAAAACTGTAAATGTTGCAACTTCAAGAGTCTGTATTTTTTGCTTCTACTCTATGGATGTTTAAGATCTTAATTTTATTTTGTTAGTATGATATTTAGCTGTCTTGCCTGAAAATTTGAAATCATTCGGTTGGCTGGAATAATTATAAGAAATATAAATGTAAAGAAAGTCAAATGTTACAGTTTTGCACCCTGGTCATATTTCAACAAATATATTTATTAATATTTTTTTAATAATTAATGCATAGCACTTTTGACTTTTTTTGCTCATTAATATCATTTGCCATAATTTTTGTGTACCGTCGCACCATTTCAGCAAGAATCGCGCACCAAATGTCCTTACTCCTATCACATAGCTCTATCATTCAACTTGGAGCCGCCCATAATTCGCAGACTGCAATTTCCTTAGCCTAAACTCTTAAATTATTGTCAAATACCATTAACAAGAATCTATATACAGATTCTTATATTATTATATCTTAACACACGAAACTTTTGAACAAATATGTATAAAGCAAGCTTCTATTTCACACTATTCCAAATATATGTTTTAATACTTGTGTGTAAGTGATGATTATATATGTAATAAAAAACATATAATTATTTGTGTTATATTATACATTCATATAAACATATGTGAGCATTATCAACTAAAACACTTCAATTCTATAAATTATACATTCACATTTATATGTATTCAAAACTAAATCGCTGATTGCGGCTTGTGGGGATCACTAGGCGCGTGTATATGACATTTCCAACTGTGATAATTCAATTTTGCGCTGATCGTAATCCCAATGAACTTTTAGTGATGATTGTTATACGTTATGTGTATGTACATATGTACATATATTCTATGTATATGCATGTGTGTACTTATACAGTAGTTAACAATTATATGTATACTTCCAAAATTTAAATGCTTTACATTTATGTAATCAATTGGATATATTCAGTATTTCGGACTTCATTATTTATTTACTACGATAATGTTTAATTATTATACAATATTTATTTAGTGATGGATAGAAAAGCCATTAACACTTGCCCAATTCGAAAAACCAAATGTTGAAAGAACACAAAAAAAAAAGACGAAATACAAATAATTATTAAAGACGTCTTCATATATTTGTCAGCTACTATGAACTGTGCTGCACGAAACGTAGCGCCTGCTTTTACATAGTGCCTGTGATTTTGATTGCCAACTATAATGTTATAGATGGCGACGATGGTTGTTGTTGTTGCTGGAGRACTGGTAATCTAATTGTAAAAGTCGTCAATGAGACACACGCATGTCACACAGGAACAGTCTGCCATGTGTGTGTGTTTGTGTGGGTGCACATACTGTGGGTTGTTTTTGTCGTTGATTAACTGTGGTTTCGACTTTTATTGTTTGTTATTCATGTATTTAGTTTTGCGCCCTGCTCTCATAACCAAAAATAAAAACAAAAAGTATATAAAAATATGATGGATTACTTCCATATGCAATTTTCATTAATCTCTCATTTTATCTGTGAGACATTTGTTTTAATGGTGGATTTCGTATTCAGAATTATTTTAATAGAATTTTTCCCGTTTGTATTTGCAGCCATGTGGTCCACTGTGATTAAGTCCTTGTTCTACGAGAGTTCGGCTAGTTAACCTTACCCTTATCAAGAGTGAAAGTTCGGAGAGGGTAGAGCACCATGTGTATCATAGGTTAATATACATACCTATAATACACATGAACTTGTTTGCCACTCCGTTTCGACTAGCGTAACGCACGGTTCGAAATTCCGAATGGAACTGAAAACAATTTTTTTGCCGTCTGATGCACAATGACAGAAACACTGCACTGGGAGAATAAAATACGAAAAGCTTTAATATAATAATAAAAAAAATAATAATCCACAAAATGTTAGACAATTGTATACAATTGTGCGGGTGGATTTATGTTCGTTTGTTGTGATTCTGTGGAGCAGGAACTGTAGACAAACACACATACATAATACAGATAAGCTCTTTTCAACATATATTACCATTTCGCGTCGCTATCTGTGGGTGCACTCTGCAGCTCTTCTCTACAGCAAGCCGCTCTCTAAACTGTTGCACGCATGTGCATAACTGGAGAGCTCAACTCGCCCGAAAAGTGCAGTCAAAATGTGCATCTATAGTACGATAGTAGTCGATACACAAATATTTTTGCCATAAAGGTACGTCACGGTGCTAAAATCTTATCTAAAAACTAAGTAAACACCCAGCCGCTCTTCATTGAGATTAATACAATGCATTTGTAATTCTGCTGCTGTTGCGCTCAAAGCATACTGCCATACATATCTATTGTATATACAAAAAATCTTATTGAATAATTACTTATTGTAGTCGACACTTTTGAACTAATATCTATTCACCCAAAGGTGGTAGCTTAAAAACCTTGGCTGTATTGTCCTCCGAAACGGTCAATAAACAATTTTCCTCCCATTTAAAAGCGCATTCATATATATGATATAAGTGGCCAGTCAGTGTAAATTTAAGCGAGCCAGTGCGAGCATCAAACGCATTCAGTTTTCCTTGTGCGGTGGCCGCCAGCAAAGTATAATCATTCAGCCATTTGAGTCTGAAATAATTAGTTGTATTAAAAATGTTTATATGTATATGCTCAAAAATGTACCGAAGAATTCCATCAAATGGCACAGGGCTTTCGCAGACCGTGCGAAGGGCGTATTTTGAGTAGTCCCAAATGGAAATTTGCCCCTCCAGCGAGCCACATGCCAAAAGCTTAAGATCTGCTGTCGAAGGCGCAAATGCGATGCATTCTATTAGATGCTCGGACTGTATAACATTCACCGGTCCATTGTTAGTGCAGAAGAGTAATTTGCCTAGAAAGTCAGAGTTTTTGGTATTGATTTTAGTAACCATGTACGGATAAGGATTTGAGAACTTGAGCTACTAACCGCCGCCCTCAGCACATAAGTAGAATGGCGAGTTCTGCTCACATGCGACCACGATATGGCTGACTTCTCCAAAGCCAAGTGGATGTTGATTGTTGACCTCCATCAGCACCTGGCAAGTTTTTAGATCCCACAGCTTGACTACGCCATCAGTATAGGCAGTGAGTAGCTTCTTGCCATCGCCACTTAAATCACCTGCTTCGCAGCGCGCTGAGTGTCCAGGCAGAATTTTGCATTCGCCGCTGGGTATACGCCAGACGTACACCTCGCCGCTATCGCCGCCGGCTAGGAGCACGTTAGCGGCACGATGCCAGAACATCCAGGCCATATCGAACATGGAGTACTCCCAAACCTTGTACAGAATGGGGCGATCGTCTTGTGATTCGTTCACTTTGAATACAAACAGCTCGCCTGATATGTCGCCAGTCGCCAAATAGCAACCGTCGTGACTGAAATGCGTTTCAGTGACCGTGTCCTTATGATCAGTTATCTCGAACAACACCTCGCCGTTATTGGTGTCCCACACATAGGCACGATCGTCCTCGCTGCCAGTCACAGCCCAATCGAGTCGCGGGTGCAGATGACAACCAAAGACGGGGGCTGAGTGCTTTCTAAAAGTAATCAATGCATCATCCCTGATGGCTGCAATGCGATTTTCTTCCTCTTCGTCTTCATTGCCATCCATTGCGTCGTCTGAATCGCTGTGCATTCCCAAACGAGCCTCTAACTGCGACAAAGTCACCTCCTCCATTTCCAGTTCATCATCATCATCATCATCATCTACCGGTGGATCGCCATCTAGTTCGATTTCCTCCAGAAACTCGTCATTTTCGTAATCGAAGTCGGGACGATGGGGTGGCGTATTTTGACGCATTTTGTAAGATTTATTTGCTTGTCCTTTACACGCTTCAATAATAAAGAAAGCTATATACAATACAAGTAATGCACACTAATGCACGTGTTGGCACGCTCAGCTGTTTCTGTTATCGGACCTGCCAACTTGTGCGAAGTGAAAATTACCTAAATTTGCTTGAGTCTGGGCGGTATTTTTATACCCTGAACCCATTGAAAATGGGAAATCAGGGTATAATGGTTTTGTTGAAATGTATGTAACAGGCAGAAGGAGGCGTGGCAGACCCCACAAAGTATATATATTCTTGATCAGGGCGACGAGCTGAGTCGATTTGGCCCTGTCCGTCTGTCTGTCTGTCCGTCTGTCCGTCTGTCCGTCTGTCCGTCCGTCCGTCTGTCCGTCTGTCCGTCTGTCCGTATGTTTGAACGCGTCGATTTCCGAAGATATAAGAGCTAGAGACTTGAATTTTTTTTTAAAATGACCGTATATACAGCGCGGACGTCGAGTTTGCTTTTAAAATTCGATAAATCATCCCGTTATGTTTTTATCGAGTAAAAACATTCAAGTTCAAATNGGTGGCCTAGTGTGTTAGCTGCATGACGCTCGATCGAGAAGTCGCGGTTCGAATCCCGATCGATGCAACTGATGTTAATTTTTTTTAATTGTTTCAAAATATTTTTATATTTTATTAAATGAGTTTGGTATTTGATTTATATTTTTAAATACATCGAAATTGAAATTTCAGCCATACTAAATGAGCATTTTTATTTGTTGGGTTCAGGGTAGTATCTAGTCGAGCACTCTCGACTAGAATTTTCTTACTTGTTATTTGTTGGGTTCAGGGTAGTATCTAGTCGAGCACTCTCGACTAGAGTTTTCTTACTTGTTAAAAATGTGTAACGAACAAAAAATAAGAAATTTCTTAACAAAATTTGTTTATGTGGACATTTGCAATATTAGCCCGCTCTGGGACCCAAAGAATTTTATCTGGATAGGTACATTTTATTTTCTAAGCCTAGGCGATCCATTTATTAATGGATACAAGGTTCGAATTAGATTTTTTATGACGTGATCAGCAAAGTTTAATTTTTGTGTATATCATTGAACTTAAGCATTTTACGTTGTGATCCCAAACGATGTATGCTTGGTTGAGACTATTTCTATTTGATGATAAAAATATATTAATTTACTCTACTGCGGAGATGCATATTAAATCTATGGTGGAATTAGCATCTGCTAGAGTAGATAAGCTTCATTTTAACATTGTAAATAGATGTTCCCATTTACCCACTCAATATTTTTCATACTCAGTAGAAATTAGTTAAAATTTTAAGATGCATTCTTAACTTAAGTTAAGTTATTTGTAATTGGACCTTTTATATACGTGTTTCCCCTCATACTTTTGATACTTTCATACAAATCAATTCGCAGTATATATATGATTATGAAGGGACTCGCGTGTCCTGTTACCTTAAATGAATAATGTTAAACCAACACCTTTGTATAACGATATTTGATTAAGAACAAAATGTCAAATATACTTTAACAAAAAAAAAAAAAAAAAAATCAATGAAATATTACAAACATATGAAAAATTTTCCATTTGTTTTGCAGCTTTTTTATTTTCGCTTGACTCTTTTAAGTAATTAAATATTTAATTTTTCTTCTAGTGCCTCAATACGTGCCTCTAGGCTATCTAAAGATGGCATATCCCCCCAATCACAATCCGACAAACATTTATTGGCCCCAGTGATAGCAACAACTAGCTTCTCGTTAAGCTTCTGAAAAATACTCTGTATGTTTATAACTTTCTTTAGCATTTCATTTTCCATAAAAATCGTTTTACTTCTGATGTCACTGAAGTTTGTTTCTAAATATTCCAACTTACTATATAGCTCATTAAACGCTCCCATAGATGATGCATTTAATTTTTTTTCGAAATCGTATAACATTTGTTCCGTAAATTTTTTGATTTTAGCATCGAGGACATCATTCTGTTCCATATTGCTCCACTCTTTTGCGAGCATTTCCTCCATTTTGACCAAAAGGCTGCTAATCTTCTTGGACTCTGCATCTTCTGATCTGCTAACAGTTATAATATTATTGTATTGCTCCGTTAATTCACTTTGCATAGCATCAATTACGATAGTAAATTGGGTGTTTGCACTTGAATTGTATTGGAATTTCCCACTCGATTCCCATTCCTTCAATTTTTCATTCAATTTATTTATTAACTTTTTCGATTTGTCACTTACGATTTCTTGGGAAATTGTTAATTTTTGCTGCCAATTTATGAATGAAACGGAGCTCTGGTTAAGGACTAGGTTCAGTGGCCTCAAGTAACTCAACTCATCTATATTTTTTAAACAGGCAGTGAGAGCGTTTTTTTTAATTAAATTAAATTTAGATCTTTTCTCCTGAGCCTCAATTTGTCTTTGGTGCTCCTCATTTAATAAACTTTTTATCCGTGCCTTGAAGATCTCCACATTTTGCTGCCCATTGTCAATCGATTCATGAAACTGCAATTCGGCTTTCCAAGCTTCATCGAGTGAATTTTGCACATGAAATGCAAAATTTGTAATTTTTCCTTCTAGTTGATTTATATTTCTTTTTGTGACATTCATTTGCATTTTTTTCTGTTCGTTTTCCAATCGCTTGCCTTCACAAAACGCAATAAATTCTTTAATTTTAAGTTCCCCATTATGTATATAATTTTGTGTGCTTTCTATGGACACATCAAAGGTCGTAAGAGTTTCGTGCAGTTGCTGACTTGAAATATTATTGAATTCGTTTAATTCTATTTTATCGGTCAGTAAAACGTTTCTATTTGTAATATTACAACACTTGCCTTTATTAATATTAATATTATTATCGATTATCTTTGCGATCGCTGTGAGATGCTCTTCGGATATTTTTGAATTTTGCACTAGAATATTTTGGTTTCCACTCAGTGAATTAAGTATGGAAATGATTGAAACATAATCTGGAACTATGGATATTAATGTCTTCCTAAATCTTTCGATTACACCTTTAACATCAACTTGCCAGTCACTGCAGCAACTGCAATTGAAACGGTTATTTTGAGGTGCATGTAGGTTTAGTTCGCCTAGTCTTGTCATGAAATTCTCAATATCAAGTAATGCATAGCCTGTAGATTTCGCTCGTTCAGTAAACGGAACGCAGAATAATTGTATTAAAAGGTCGACGATGTCATTGATTATCTCGACTCTATCCCGAATAATAGGATATGGACAACAATTCCGCTTCAATAATACATTTAGCTTTGCCACGACATTCGGAAGTCTGGAGGCCAGTGTAGGCAATCTACGACCTAACTCCGTCTGTTCCTTGATCCATTTTCCCTTTTGATCACTCTCGTTACATTGCGGTCCATGCTCAATGATTTCTGTTGTTGTTGGCTCCGTGGTTGTTGTTGTTGTCGTCGTTGTAGTTGTTTTTGTGGTTGTTGAAATAGTAGTGGTAGTTGTTGTTGTTGTTGTTGTTGTTGTTGCTGTAGCTGTTATGATAGGAATAAACGTTTCCCCATACATTTTCCTCCGATCGCATACAACTACTTTAGGTATGTGGAAATATAAGCTTAAATCGATTTTTATACAATTTCCATTATCATATAGTTCGGAAATTGTAAGTATATTCAGATCCAACAGTATATCCTCAACTTCATGTTGCCATTGATGAGCATGTTTCCAATATGTAGTGTTGTCTTCTTCAGATAGGCCTTCTTTAATGCAACCGTTTTTCTTTATATAGTAATCATAGTTCTTATCGTCGTCGTCACTATCAGTAGGACTATCGTGTGAAGTATAGCAAATAACAACTACTTTAACGCAATATTCATATTTTTTCATTTCCTCCACATTCATTTCTAATATTGTTTCCATTACATTTACAAACAGTTTGTTGTAATGAAAAGCTGAAATGATTAAGAGCATTTGATATGCATTTGCCTGCAATAAGATAGTTGAAAATCGAATTATAGGAATAATATTGATACGTATTTGACAAAGCCTAGTCCCAGTTACCATATTCGGTTTTCAACTTATTATTCTGAATGCAACTACAACTTTCGTCTCTGTACTGAATACTGAATGTAGTTTCATTATTCACTTATAACATATCGTTTTTTTATATAATTGATTACTAATAAAAAGCAGAAGTAATCAGAGCGTAAAAATTATACTTTTGCCATAAAGTACAGACGGTTCTATTAAGGAGTCTTTATGTATATAGGAGATACCCTAAGGATCGACCGATCTTTAATCTGCTGTCACTTCTCTCATACATACATGTACATATATACATACATATAAGCTGACGATTAGACTAATTTGCAACAAAATTAAAATTTGAGCTAACATATCCACAATCAATATGTATGTTTGTCTCCGAGCATGTTTCTCTGGCTGATCAAGTGTCTTCATTTATATCATTTAATACTACTACTTTCTACATATGCAATATGACAAAGAAATCGTTGTATTATTATATTATGGTATACATCCATATATGTTATAATACTTTATTATTTGTAATGAACTTCATATGATGTAAATATATCAAGTATTAAGAATATACTTATGCATTTTGTAGTGCTTGGCATACATTTTCAAAGAGCCAATATAGCCCGAATTTTCATTTTCAATCGGTATATTGGATGTCAAGGGGAAGTCAGTATATACATAAAAATCAACAATTTAATGATAAGACCAATACAACTGCATGAATGAGCATATGAATGTATGCGTGCATAAGTATGTATATGTGGGTGCGTTTGTGTGTATAAGCAGACACAGAGAAACAGCTTATATGGGTGCATTCTTCTGTTCGTCTATGTGCATACATGTTTTTTGATAACAGAACCCGTTCAGCACATACACGATAGGTCCATTTATATACGATTTGTTTTGAATACTGCCTATCTCAATGTATGTGTTGTTCTTCGGGGGAGAGTTCCTACACCGAGGCTTCTATATAAGGCCGACGTATTTCTGCCCAACAAATCAGTATTCAGCGACAACCGACAATGGCAACATGTCTTCAAGGCTTAGCGTGATGGGATGGAGCTTTAAGGCGCTCGGCGCGCATACTCAAGGACACAGTTTTTGGGTGGGTGCACAGCTTTATATACATATATTATATGTAGTTCGCTGTTAACTCAAGCAGAATAACCGGAACGTGGATGCGAAGAGTGCAATATAGTTTAAGCAACACAGTGGTCAGTGTGTATGTATAAACATAGAGCTATGATGTAATTAGTATTTAAACTATAATATAATATAATTACATTTTACAAATAAGTTCAGAAATAGTATATAGCTTATATGTCGACTTTTTTAAATCAATTTACTATAGTCAAAAGAAACAGCAACATCGTTTAAGTCTTCCATGCAATTTTACGTAGTTCGGCTTTTAGTGTTACAAAAATAAATCTATTGACATTTTAAATTGTTATTTTGTTTGAAACATCTTGTAATCAGTATACTTTTGCTTCATATATACATATACTCAAATAGTAAAGGAGACCCAAATGCATTACAATTTTTTAAAGATTTTAATGTAAAGTCCCTAAATCTGTTTTATGACTATTGGTTTACATACACATTAAGGAATTTCAGCAGCAAATCAACAGTGGCAACGAGATATTTGATGAAGATGATGTACTACTGTAAATTAATGCCTAAAAAAACAACTATGGAATAATAAATACGATTTGGTCTTTTCTTTCAAATGTTATATTTTATTTATATTGCTTCGTTTCTTTATTTTTTCAACTTTACAATCCTCGTCCACGGTACAGTCCTATGCAATATATATACTTTAATGCTGGCAAAAGTACAAATTGTATATGTCGTGCCATAGTGAATGAATTTTGATGACGCTTTAAACATTTTAAGTCCAATCTAAAATGCAAAGCAATTCGAGTATCCATAGGGATATGTCTGTCTACTCCGGATAAGATCCTGATGTGTCCAAGATCAAAGAGCCCAACAATTTGGTCCCGAAGACAGGCGAAGTCTTGATTTTCCAACCTACTAAGTCGTACCCAGACTTGAAAATGCTAGAACCCAGATGCATCTCATTCGTGTCCTTCACGCCTGTGCCCAACGATCGTGAAAGTTCCACTCAATGTCATAGGGCTTCACTTGGTGGCTGGGTTGAAATGAAGTCCAGAAGAATGTACCGCCATTGGTCCGTGCGAAGTGCACGGGCACATAGTAGTCCTCTTGATCGAATGTGTGAAGTTCGCCGGATCCGTTTTCGTCGTATACGATTATGGCGTCCTCCTTGGCACACTGCCTGATCTCATCAATAAGTCGGTTCTCTAGATGCTCGTTTGACATATTATCCATGTCGTTGTTTAGCCAGTCGAACTCTGCCTCCTTTTCCACTGATGCGATATAGGAGCTTCGCTTTGGCTGCTTTGCCTTTATCTTGAAGAAATGTCGGATCAACGGCTTCACTATATTCGTGAGTCGGCGTGTAGGCGAGACTTTCGATTTGTGGGAATAAACCATAATCTTTTTCTTATAGTTGTTGAAGTTGAGTTGTTGTTTATTTATAGCTGACATCTTCGACATTGCGTTGTCTTGAGTAAATGTTGTGAGTGTTGCCGGTGCGGGAGTCAAACTGTTTATGATGCTTTCTCTAACGTGCCTACCCTATTTATACTCTTGCTCTCTATGAGCGTCTCAAAGCGGTTCGGCTGCATCTCAGCCAATCACAGATGCTGATGGCCGCCAGGTGGTGGATCAGAAGATTCTCACGTTTGGGCAGTGTTTTGAAATACCCAGCGCTCGCAGGTTAGAGTCCTGAAAAGGACTAAAAGCGTGGGAAATTCTTTCCTCATGCGTGTGTCTCAAGGTCATTATCCTGTCACTTTCGGCGTGAGAGCTAGATATCCTAACCATTTTCAAATTCTATTGTCACAAATTTATTGTTAATTAAACTGTATCAATTACCTAGATTCGTAGGCTCTTTTGACCTGATTTACTGATCTCTTTATGTATTCTGAAAACTTAACGGGCAGAGCGCGTCATAGATTCTAAAAGTATACATACATAGATTCTTTTTCAGGATCACGAGGTGAATTGATTAGGTTACCCGTTCTGCTGCCTTTCCACTTGATCGTAAGTGTGAACGCAACATGCTCAGATCAAATTAAAAAACATTATCGAACTTAATATTATTTATTTATCATATATTGTATTGTATTATATGATAGTGCAATTATAATAAAAATTTGAAAGTGTTGGTATTTTTACCAAATTTATTCTCTGCTATATACATATGCAGATATATGTATATGTGTACATATGTTACATTATATTTGTGTTGAATACATATATGTGAATAGGTATAAGCCATGGAAATACACCGGTTGGTCGGGGTCTCCCGACTGTATCTTTAGAATTTGTTGAATTTCATGTTTATTTATATTATTACAAATTTAATAGATGCGTTGAAATTTACAAATTCGTAGCTCTATATATCAATGTTAATGAGCCTAAAACATGACTACTCTATGCACTAAAATAAATTTGGGATATATACTACATATATAATAGGTTTGTTTATAAATTCTTATTATGTACTACGATATTTCCTATACGTCCGCAAGGGTTTTTGAAAATCAGAACAAACCATTAGATCTGTTATACTGAAATGACTATTGCCAGATTCTACGGCTAGGTTCGATCCTACTTTTTCTGCCCTACTTTATAGTAACCGTATTAAGTGGACTAATTAGGCTTCAAAGCTGTATAGCTCGAGTGATGCACTTTGTATTATTGTGTAGACATCATATCTTTTTATGCGTGTAAAGTTATTAAACAATGAATAACGAATAAGAAATTATTAATTAAACTAAATTTATTTACATAATAAACTTATCTGAAATGCATAAAAACCTATATTTAACATTTGACGACTCAGCTGAGAAGATTAGGAGATGTAATTTTTTAACTAGTTTTCGAAAAGGTTTTTAATCGATAACACATACAGGAGTAGTTATCTAACTGCGCGTAATATCGTTAAATCGACTCAACCTGTCGTTCTGATCAAGAACATATATACTTTATGGGGTCTGACACGCCTCCTTTTGCCTGTTACATACATTTGAACAAAACCATTATACCCTGATTTCTCATTTTGGGTTCAGGGTATAAAAAATACGGATCATGCAAGTCATATAAGACGATCTCGACTTGAATGGTAGGTAGGGTTAGGCTCGTTTCTTATCTGTAGTCCCTACCTGTTTCAATGAAATATGAGAATGTTCTCGCACTGCTTTAGAATTATCAAAGAAAGCAAAACAACCGTTGACAATGCACTGGCAGTAACATGTTTGGATCGAGAACTGGTTTTCAGCTCAAGGGCGAAGGAACAGGTAGCCAAGAAAAGGTTTCGGCTCTGTTATTTGTTATTCTGATAAATTTTTTGGCGGCCCTTGCTGAGGTTTAATAGCGTATGCAGGTAAAAAATGAAAACATATACCTAAATGTATTTGCATATTATAAAGCGAATCATTTAAACTCTTGAAATTCTTACAATCATATAACTTAAAGCCAGCCTTTCACAGCATCACCGTCAATGTTTTAAACTTGTAGTCAGATAAATATTGTATACGTATAGCAATGCCCATCCGACTGAAGCCATAGGGAATATGTACAAGAAATATGTACTCTCGATTTTTTCAGATGATATATATTATCATTTAATACATACTTATGTTGACAATCCAAGATAAATATAAATATTATGCTGTACATTTAGAGGGCGTAGCAAACAAACAATCAACATCTTTTAACATTTGAGGGCTATGAAATTTAAATCAATTAGTGGTGCTCCAATATCAATAGTATACCCTATATATTCCAAAAAAATTATATGTCCACGGCGTGATGGGGGACTAGAAAATCGGATCAGTTTTTAGATAGTTATTGCTTAACCACATTGGGCTTCTCAGTCACAATATAATATAATGTAAGGTATTACAGTTAATTTCACAACTGACTGCACGTATCAAATTGTAAATTGGTTTGAATGTTAAGGAATCAACCCTTGGCAATA